CTTTTCCTTCTAACAGTCTCTAGAATGTGGTGGATTCTTTTAGAGTCTCTTGGATTATTCTCTTTCTCTCTAGTTTTCTCTAGAATATTTTTTTTTATAGAAGAAGGAATATGACTCACCCTTTTTAGAGATGGAGGTGCGTGACACTCTCACCTACTTATGCTTGCAATGTTCTCATTGTGGTTTCCACTTGATACCGTTGGTTTCTTCTTTTTGAACTTGTCTTCATGTCTCATTTTCTTGTCTGTCCACTTCATTTTTCTGACAACCTTATGTAATGTGGCTCGAGTTAATTCCCTTTGCTCATTGCACAAGGTTGGGCTTTCTCTCTTGTACTTGGTTGTAGGGGGGAGGGGTATCATTTAGAAAAACATCATGGTTTATGACTCAGTCCTTGGCTCTAGCCCAATCTGATGATCTTTCTCCCTTCTTGGGGGTAGTTCTTTTGAAACACCTTTATATCCCTCAAGCACTATCACCACTTCCCTTGACATGTCTTCTTGGAGATTTCCTTCCTCATTGGAGTTATGAAAAATAACCAAGTAGCTCTCTTCATCTCGTGGAATGCCCTCCTTGAATTGGATGGTCGATAACATTTTGACTTCCTGCTTGTTAGCCCTTGTTGGTGATACTAAGTAAGCTTGACTCCCTTCCATGATGAACTTGCTATTAGCGAAGAGCATCGAATGCTCTTGATTGATCCAAGAATTTCATCCCTAGAATAATTTTAAAATCATTTATTGGAATGACTGAGAAGTCTAAGGTACTTGACCACTCTCCAATGCTGGTTTTTACTCCTCTTGCTATTCCATGGATCAACCTTACTGCTGAATTAACTATCTTGATGGAATCTCCTCCTTCAGTCATTCTCAAACCAAACCATTTTTCTTCTTTAAAGAAGATGAATTTGTGAGAAATACCTATGTCCATCATTGCTCTAAGGGTCTTCCCACCTATTACCATCTCCACAAAGAGTATAGCCTCTACTTGTATCGTTTTATCACCACCTTCCTCTTGCTGATGAATTGTAAGGAGAGAGTTTAGAGCATACTTCTGAGGATAATCCCTTGCCCAATGTGGTCTGTCATAAAGAAAGCAAATGTTTTGTGACTTGATTTTATTATACTTTTGCTTTCCCTTATCTTTACCCTTGGATGAGGATGATTCATAGCTAGTCTCCATCTTATGTTGGCCCTTATCTCTATCATCTTTGACATTGACACTCTTCTCATTCCTTGGCTTTGTAGACTCCTTAATATAGTCAATCCAGCTTTCAGGAAACTGCAATGGCAATAGTAAGATTTTGCACTACACACCTCCTAAGCTTAGTCTTTGCCCACTGTTGGAGTCCATCCATGAAGTTGAAAAGAGCATCCTTGTCAGACACGTTGGGAATTTTAAGAACCAAGCTTATGAACTCCATAATATATTCCCAAATCGGTCCCTCTTGTTTGAATCTTCACAATCGGGCTCTGTCCACATCTTCTGCATTCTCAAAGTAGAATTGTCTCTTTAGCTCCCTTTTGAAGTCATCAAAGGTGGATATAGTGCACACATCTTTCTCATTATCTCCTCATCTTTTTCTCCTCCACAACATAGCGATGTCTGAGAGATAAATAGTTGCAAATTGTATTCTTGCATCTTCATCCATAATCCTCATCGCTCCGAAGTATTGTTCAAATACACATAAGAAATTGTCAACTTCCTTTGTGTTGCAAGGTCTTCCAAAACTTTTTAGATTTGGCACTTCAATGTGCTTAGCTTTGAAGGTATGATGGTTGGGGGGGTGTCTCTAGTGCCCTTTTGCATAGAGAAATGTCTACACACATCTCCTCTAAGCTAGCATGTATGCCACTCATCTCATCTTCATGGGCTCTTCGTACCTCCTAGAGCTCCCCCATCAAGTCCTCCCGCATCTTAGCTATTTGGTTCCTTAAGGACTTATAAATTTTGAGCATCTATCCTTCAATCATCGAATGGATTATGATGTCCTCTTCCTCGAATCCATCAACCTTTTGGCCAAGATCCTCTACCTTGGCCTCTATGCCATTCATTGCCTCCTCCACCCGAGCAAGACATTGATCCGCCCTAGCGATTATCATAATAATATAGTCCTGATAATGACACCAGAAACTTAATTTGCTCTCTAGCAATTTAATTGAGTTCTGAAAATTAGGTATTACTACTCACTGAGGTTTCTCACGCAAGTATACTTATCATTTCAGTAATATAGGGCTCTATTTAGTCCGGATTGTCGATCCCACAACGAACTAGGTAATGAGTCATTAAGGCAAAGTTCTAGTCCACTAAGATGAGGTCAATTAAAATGGTTTTACTAACAGTTACTCCTAAATCACAGTACTAAATCCAATACTAAAGCTAACTATATCAATTGCTTTGGTGAATTTCAAGATATTAAAGTTATATTTCTGTTGTGGTTGCCTAAGTGGATTGTAGGATCAAATACAAAAAATTGCTAATATCGCAATTCATACTAGCTGACGGGTATTTGAGAACTCCCCTGGTGAATAGTTTAGTAGTGCGATCTTTTCTTGGCTCGCATCCATACTAGTTGGCGGGGTATTACTCTAGTATGCAGGGAAACCTCTATTTGGCATGTCAATCAGGAGTGCAACCTCGTCAGCATAAAATTTTAGCTCTTTCCCACCGAGGTGGAATGTCATTCGATCAATATTCCAACAATTTAGTATGTGCATTATCAGAATATAATCTTGAGGGTGCGGCGAGAGTTCAAAAAATAGAGCTAAATTCAGTGCTTCCAATTTACTCTATGTTTCCTCGTCCACTGATGGTCGAGCCTTATTGAGGACTTCTCGTACTCCAGATGGACGGCACCTGCAGTTCATTGATTTTGCGCTAAATAACCTATAATAATACATCATAATGGGTTAATATCAAATTATGATAAAAGGATGAATTTCAAAATTATACCTAAAACATAACCACCAAGCTTTACTGATTTGAATGGAAACCCTAAGCTTTACAGATTTGAAATGAAACCCTAAAAATTACCTAGATTCAATATCTTTCTTCTTCTTTGACTCATTCTTCTCCTTACGGCCTTTGACCGTTTGCGATGCCTCCCCGCATTCGGGTTTCTTAGCCTCTCCCAACTCCGCGACATTGGTCTCTACCAAATTAGTCTTCGTGGTCTCGGCGCTTCCCTCTTCCATTTTAGTGTTCCTCCGCCTAAGCAATCCACACTCTCTGCGAAAGGAAGACGACGACGAAAAACCCTAGCACGAGCGATTGCCTGTTTTCGAAAATGAAGATTGACTGTAGAGGTTTCTACCTTTTACAAAGGTTATAAAACTCGATTTATTGAGGTTATAAGAAGGTTACAATTTGTAATAAGAGGTTACAATATGATTATAATGGCAGTTCAGCGTTATATGGAGGTTTCAGGCAGGTTACACCCGCGGTCTAACGGGAAGCTTAGAATCAGGTTACAAAAAAATTACAGTCGCATTACATTTTTCTTTATCGCGGAAGGTATATCTGCGGTATATCACGGTTACAATCGCGTTACATAGCTCTGTACCGAGAGGTATAGCTGGGGTATATCACGGTTACAAGTGCGTTACATGACCCTATGCCGCGGAAGGTATATCTTGGGTATACTCTGGTTACAAGCGCGTTACATGGCCCTGTACCGCGGAAGGTACATGGCTAGTATATCCCGGTTACAATCGGGTTACAGCAGGCCGATTGCGGGAGATATAAGAAGGGTATATCAGAGTTACAGATCAAGGTACAAATGAGTTACACCACGGGCCGGGTAACAGGTCACGCGCGGATTTATTTCGATTTATTATATTTATTTAATGTAGTGGGCCCACCGAAAATTATGTGGCGTCTTCTGATTGGATATCGAACGATCGCTGCGTGCGTCTTACGTAGGCAAATTTTCTTCCATCTTCTGGAGTAGTAGAAAGTGAATAAAATATACTTCCTCTCAAAAGAGGAAAGACTTCAGGTAAGTCCAACTTATTATCATGGGCGTTCTTCTTGTCAGTTCCATTTCTTTCCTAGCAGCGTACAATAGTTGCGGTGAGCAGATGCCAATGGCCTACGACAGATGACAACAACACAAGGATGGTGACGAAGAGCAATGGTGACCGACGACTATTGTGGTAGCAGGATGATCAATAATATTTTACATTAATGAATAGTATAAATTTCAATTCAATCAAATCACGATCGAATTCTAAATTCAATCAAAATAAATTAAGATGCAAATTTTAAATTCATACATATTTTATATTATATTTATAATTTTTCTTGATGAAAACAAAAAAAAAATTATAATATACTTCAAATACTTCCAACCAAACAAATGACCGTCAAGACCGATCGGATTATACCTCACCCTTCATCATATCTATTTTTTGCCACTAGTTTGTGCATATCCACGCGTCGTAGTTTTGTGACAGTGAGGACGCTATCAATTTTATACTTGAAAGAGTCCTGTCAAGCACATGCACGTTTAAATAACACTAATAATACAGTTAAATTAATTTAAAAACCAAAACATTCTTACCAAGTAAGAAAAAATCAACTGATTAATAGCATACATTCCTGTAGAATTTCAGCTGTCAATTCATTTCCAATTTACTAAGAATAACTAAAGATTCAAAATTGTATCAATCAGTCTTAAACTAAACCATAACCCACATCCAGCAATACCTTCACTCAAGCTGATGTATGAAACAACCCAATGCTTATCTTTTAGGGGGCATTTATGTCCTGACCACTAAACTCCAATGTATTTACATATCTCGGACTTTTTTACACTAATACCATTATTTTTAACTTTTAAAAAATAAGATACATCATTTCATGCATAAAATGACATATATGTAAAAATCAAAGTTCAGGTGCTAGATATTAAAAGACATAAGAAATCAACTTGTATGTATGCAAATCTTCCTAATTTTTAATGAATTACCTTGCAACAGTTCTTTGCATCTTTCCCATAATATTTCAGCATTGAACGTTATACTACCCAATTTACTAAATAACAAATCACTCCTAAACTGCAAAACAAAATCATCTCAATAAATTCCCATCATGTATACATGGTCATATAATTCAGCACAGAAACACAAGTTCATATTCTACATGCTCTTGGCTACAAAACCTGCTTCTAACAGCCCTACAAGCTTTGCAGCCAATCAAAACTTCAACCATCATGTAGGAACAAACATCCAACTTTCAAGGAACTAAGCCTAAGCTTACGAGGAGTTCTCATCATCAGAACTCCCAGACCTCATTCCCTGAAACTTAGGAAAGACTGGTGGAGCCATTTGGCCTACTTGAGCCGACGGCTGACGAACCGAGCCGATAAACGTTCTCTCGTTAATCCTCCCAATCTCTTTACAGGCCTGATCCAGAATGTTGAGGAAATCCCTCACAATCATGAAGATTCTGAAAGGGTGAGCTTCTTCTTTCGCCGAGTTCCCATGAAAATATTCAGTTATCTCCCTCACCAGTGCAAACGCAACGCTCTCCTGAACTTGAAGCTTAACTATTTCAGCCTCAGCCTTTTTCAGAAATCCCATCATGGAATCATGAAACCTCTGACTATTGTCTGCTGGTCTCAGAGCTTCATTTAGTCTGAGCACCTCTCGAACTTTTCTGATGCCTCCGGCGAGCTTCTGCACCGAGCCACTAAGCCCATCGCAGTCCATACCGGCGGAACTTTTCACATTACTGAGTTCGTTCCCGAGTCCAGAGACAAGTTGGAGACCAAGTCGTCTGCATTCGAGATCATCTCCAACCGTGTTCGAGCGAACTTTGGCAGCGGAATTGCGGGAACCCTCGGCCCTGATGATTTCTTGAACAACAAAATGAAGGAGAGTGGTCTTACCGTCGGTACCCTTCACGTCGACTAGTTTGAGGAGTGTATCGAGCTTGAAGGCATGTGCATCGCCGCGATTCGTTCCGACATTCATACGGTTACCGGTTTTGAGAACAGCCTCGAGAAGCTTTAGGAAAAGGCGGCTACTCCTTAGCTCTTCACAGGCTGTCTGAGAACAGTTTTAACAGAATATTGATTCCAGCAGAATACAGAAACAAATAAAGTAATTCTTTTTTACTGTTAAGAGTGCAAACAAACTATAAAAAAATGCACTAACATAAATCTAAAGGTATATGAAATGATAATTAAAGTCTACATAAAAAGCAGCCGTTGGATGCTTGAAGATCTCGAGCAGAGTCAATTCATGCTAAAGGTTGGTTTGTTCCCTTAATCTGATTTGGATTTGAGCCATACATGGCTCGTTAACTTTGATTCAGGCTAAAAAAACAAATCAATCTCGAATGGTTTTGAAATTCCTATGACAAATTCATTGTCCAACATTCTTAATACATTCAGGCATACATAAATTTTTATAACATAAACTCATTAATGCATACATAAATTAATTAAAATTTAGAAACTCTCTATGTATTTATGCATATATGCATAAGAATTTTGATTTGATTTAAGGTCAGTTAAATTCAAGTTCAACCCAAGCAAGACTAGGCTAGTTGAATGGCTCATTAACTTCAATTTTGATTTGATTTGACCACTTTTTTAAAAAATCTTCAATTGTCAAGGCAAACTCATGGCTCCAATTAGGACCAACTAAATAGCAAAATAGCTTCTATGAATTTACATTTTATAGCCAACCAAATAGCTTTTAGTAATTAATGATATCCATTATTAACTTAAATGCAACAAAATAGCCCTCAAATGAACTAGAAAAAGAGCTAAAACTATGCTACATAATGTATCATACATGCTCAAAAATTGAACACAAAAAAGCAACAGAAATAACAAAACATTGAAAAGAATATAAGTTCTTCGGGTAACATTTGTAGAACATCACTTCGAAGGATAATTTCTACATCCAAAATGAGAACAATGAAGAACGAATCATCCAAACAGCCACCATGATATCTAGTAACAAGGTTTGTATGACCAAAGAAAGCTTAATCTCAAAATAAAATTTAACAGAAAGATATGAGGCTCTTTACTTCATAAAATTTACAACATGCACAGTATAAAGATTTAATAGAAAATGCAACTTACCTCAAGAGTTGCAAATGATTTTTTAAGGTAATTAGCTTCAGAGTCAAAATTGGCAATGTAGAGCATCGCTTCAACTCTTTTGAAGGCGAACGGAGTGTTGAGCACCGCCTTGAGAAATTTTTCCGCTGGTCCGAGCTTAAAAGGGGAATTATCATTGTACTCTCTCAGTTTATGCTCTTCATCTTTGCTTGGAGCCATTCTCAGTAATGTCTCCAGAAGTTCATTACCAAGAGTATCACTGTTACCTGTTTTCAGAAAGTAAAAGGAACATAAAAAACAACAATGAAAAGCTTCTTCACAAAGAAAAAATACGCATTATTGAAGCTTTGGCTAATTATTTAAAATTGCTGGCAGAAATTAACAAGATAGAAAAAAAATTACCAGATGTTCAGAAAAACAAAAAATGTGAAAAACAAGAAGAAACCGGAAAACTCTCTTTTTAAATGAAGTAGGTTAGAAATGTAGGATAATGAAAATTAAAGAATATAAATGAGAAAATCTTAAAACTATAATCACAATAAGGCTACATACTATTGATGACTAGATAAGACATGATATTTATGAAAGGATTCGTCGCTCATTAGTTAAAGAAGATGGTTGTATCTCCACGGTAACGGGTTCAAGTCATATACTTTGTGATTTATCGCTTATAATTCTAAAGAAAAGATGAGGCATCAAACTTCAAGGAATAAAAAATGAAGAGCACATGAATTGTCAATGCAAGATCTTAAGTAGAAAACAAACAAAGTATATAAATAGATAAAAAAAATTGAGTATTAGGACATTGGTAAACCAAATATCACTTTTTTTAACCCATTCACTTGACAATAATGCATCTAGCAACTCCATACCAAAAAAAAAAAGAAAAAGAAAAGAAAGAAAAAATCTCAACCACCGTCGAACAAAAGAGAACAAAACATAAAATCTTATCTATTATTGAAATTAATAATCAGAAGATCAAGCTAGAAAAAACACTAACTCTGCCAAAAAAAGATTTTTAGAAACAGTACTTTCCATCCCATTAACCATCTACACTACAAAAAAAAAAAAAAGAAGAAGAATTCTTAAACTGTTATGCATTATTGAAATTAACAACGTGATAATTTAACTAACAAGCACTAAATAATCAGCCCAAATAAGGATTTTGAGATACACTACTTCCCACCTCATCTAGCATCAAATATTAAAGAAGATATAAAAGCTTCTCTTTTATTGAAATTAGTAATCAGCTAATCAAAATGAAAACCACTACATAATCAGCCCAAATATAGATTTTGATAAGCACTACTCCCCGTCTCTTACAGGTTGAAAGAAAACCAAGAAGCTAAATGCAGATACTCCAATAATCTACAAAATATCATCCTACAACATACAGATTAAAAGAAATTGAGCTAATCTAGTCCCGGGTCAAAATCAGCTTAAAAACAATCAAGCTAGTTCTAGATAGACTCGCGGATAGAACCAATTATATTTTGAACCAGCTCAACCAAAAATTGAGCACTTTCATCACTTCAGTTACAAGAAAATTTAATCTGCATATATGTATATTTATAATACTCATTTACATCTATACACATATGTATGCATTACTTTAAAAAAAATATACATATTTGAGCTGATTTCAAACCAATTCAAAGCCAGCTCCAAATTGGCACAAGATTGGATCAAGCTAAACTCAACTCATCTAGTTCAATTTGAGTTTAATCCAACCCAAAAAATGATTCAATCTTAAAAAGATATTCAATCAAAAAATGTCAGGCATAAAGCCAATACAAGGTTGTACTAGAAAAATAATTTATTCAGCTTTCAAGGGTATATTCATTGCAAAAGATAGACTCCACAGTTGTACTGACAGCACAAGTAATTAATATAAACAATACCGCTACAGCTGTACTTTGAAAGCTCAAGTAATCAACAAAAAAAAAAAATGTTTTTATGATTTCTAAATGCAAAAAATCAATGATCCCAATCATCCATACTATGCTTAGATTTTTTTACAGCCAAGAAGAAGAGCAAAAACAGGGGAAAACTATCCAAGTACAACAATAAAGTTACACTCTTCAAGGATCAAATGAGAATATAGGAATTTTAAACAATAATTTAAAAACTCTTCAGTGGTCAATCATTACTAACAAAGAAAGGGGTGGTTGCATTTTTGTGAATGTGGTGAAACATTTTTTAACCCTGACGAAAAAAGTAGTGGTTTGCTAGTTACCCTAAGAAGGAAGATTAGTAACAGCAAGGAAAAGCATGCAGCAAATGATGCAACTTGATTTTTTATGGATGGAACATTGTAAAGAAGGAACACTAAAAGACTTGTCTCATTTGTGATTTTTTAACAGCGAATTTAGATACACCCCACCCAATTCCAACTTTACATTTTTAACATTTATAACACCCAAATCTTTCATATCGCATCAAAGTTATCACTATTTTAACTTTCAAAAAGTGAAACGCACCTTTTTAACGTGTTAGATATGTAAATACATAGGAATTAAGTGTTATTTAAGTAAATCTGCTTTTAAATAGAAAATGAAAATAAAAAAAAGTCTAACCATCCAAGAGCGCCTCACAAACTTCCTCCTTGGTTACATTCAGTGCTCTAAGCAGAATGGCAATGTTCTGAGACTTCTTCGGATCCAGCACTCTATTCTCTTGCACTGCAGCAGAAGAAATCATCCTCCTCCCACCGTCCGGTGCCATGGTTTTTGCATCATAAACAAATAAGGTCTCAATCATCTCCTCATTCAACCTGCCAGTTACCATTTCTCCAAATCAACAGAAAGAACAGAGCTTCAAAAGATCAAAACTATTAAAAACTTAAAACAACAAAAATACGGTAAGAGAATTCCTACTGGAATGAGCTAGATTTCATCTGATCCCAAACCATTGCTCTATCGGAGCTCGCCTTGACCTTATCCCAATGCAAAGGCTTCAGCTTGGGCTTTGGTGTTTCCTCACTCCTTCCCATAGCGCAACCTCCATGTGTGTCAGTGGAAAACACCACGCCATATGACTGCTGGGCGGATGGAGGAGGAGGAGGCGCTGGCGGAAGAACGACAAAAGGGTTTCTTGCAAACTCCCCAATGCTCCTAGGCGACCAATGGTTCTGACTTGATAACATATCTGGTACCTTATTCGATGGAGAAAATGGCGGAGAAGAGGAAAGGGGTCTCCTTTTTGGAGGCGAAGGAGTCATCGGACGAAGCGAGGTCGGCGCACGAGGCGGAGGAGGCGGCTGCGGCGGCCGGAAAATGGAAACAGTTGGTGGCATGTAGCTTGATCTTCCCGGGCTAGAGCCAATAGGTGGCGAAGATGAAGGTGAAGACGCAACATTCGAAGATGGATAGGAGGGAGTGCTCAGCGTCGAAACGGTCGACCCGCGTTTCTCAGGAAGAGGCGCAGCCACAAAAAAATTCAATTTTGAGCTCGATCCATGCTTGAAATCAGCACCCCGCTTCTCACCAGGAGAACCGCTTGGGGAGTAAAACTCCTCCTCTGAAGAGAAGCCCCCATCGCCATTCCCCTTCCGAACATGGCGAGTAAGTGGCGGTAGAGGTCGGAGCTCGGGAGAGCTCGCCGGCGGCGGAAATAGTGGAGGCGCGCTGGAACTGTCTTCCTGGCCACGGGAGTTCACAAGAGTGCCCAGGTAAAGAAACTCGGAGCTCACAGGTCCAGAGTTTGCCGAAGGTTTGCGGTCGGAAGCAGCAGAGTTGGGAGGAAAAAGGCGGTCGCTATCGGAGTCTTCATTGGCGTTGTCTGGCCGGCTTCTTCGGCGGAAGAAGAGATAGAGAAGGAGGAGAAGAGATAGAAGCGCGAGGGAGAGAATGGGAAAGGCGATGGCTTGGAGAAGTTTGGTAGTAGGAGAACGGGAAGAAGGTGTGATCAGAGAAGAAATGTTGGCCGGGAAGGTAGGAAGGGATGACGAAGCAGAGATGGGTGGAGGTGGTGGTGGAGGAGGGGTGGGGTTGGAAGGAAAGAAGGGTTTTTGACTGGTTGAGGACGGATATTTGGGGAAGGTAATGGACGGGGGTTGTGCAGGAGGCCAAGAAGAGGTAAGTGGGAAGAAGGGATGGTGGAGGAGTCTGCGCGCGAGGGCAGGGGTGAAGGAGAAGAGGAAGAGGAGCAAGAGGAAGTGATGGGCTGGCGGCATTGCTTCCATCGCTCTCTCTCTCTCACTCCAAAGTGGGCTGGCGACGGTAAGAATGGAGTGACGGGAGTGGAGAAACGTTGAGGAAGAAAGCAAATGAGACGCGGTAAGTGAGAGAGGGGAAGTAAGGTCCAAAACGACTGTTTGAGCTTGGCTGGCTTTCTACAGTGAGAGTTGCTTGTTTCGAGGTGATGCAGTCTGCAGGGGGAGAGAGAAAGAGGGGGCGAATTTGTGTGTGAATGGCCGAGGAGAGAATGGGGATCGGATCTTCCTTTACGACAGCAGACAGCAATATGTGATGCAGTTAAATTTACCATACATTTTTATAACATTTTTTCGACTTACAACTTTATTTGACCAAATACAACTTTTGAATCTCAGTTTTAGTAAATTTAAAATTAAATGAAAATTTTGATAGTCAAATTATATATTTGAAGTATAACAAAAAAAAATATCTTGACTCCTTAAGTGATTGAGTTTTTAAATATCATTTAAATTTGTATAGTTAAAAAAAAACAATTTATACAAGCATACACTTAAATTTCAATATAAATAAAATATTTATTTATTCATAGAAGTGTCCATATTTGAGATGATGAAATATTTGAGATGATGAAATATTTGAGAGAATGAAATATTTGAGAATTTTGAACAAAAGAATTAAAATAACATTTCATGAATTATATATAAAGTTATATTATTTGGAAGAAAAGAATCTCAATTTTTTTTTTTTAAAATGCATAAGAACATTTAAAATTATAGTGCTTTGATTTGAAAATTGGCGGTGACAAACACAACCAATAATAGTCACCGTCAATCTTTTACCGTTTAATCATCACCACCCAGCATCATCATCCAATTATCATCATCTAACCACCATCATTTAACTATCATGGTCTATTGACTTTCACCTATTTATCATCATCTGCTAGCAATATTAACATCTATTGATTAATGTTCATCTCTCGATTGTTGTCATCGTCCTTTATTTTTTCCCCAACTTTCTTCACCATAATTTCGAGAGATTAAAATAATAATCCATATTTTTATATACTCAAATAGGGTCATACCCTTAAATAAGACTTCTTTTTTCATGGGTATGACGTAAAGGTCAATAGGCCTTATGGGCTTTAAATGCCCCATATCTAAAACTTGTATCTTTCTTAATCTGAGCCTATTTTCCGAAGTGGCCGAGTTGTGCTCGAATTGAGCTCACCAGCTGAAGTGGTCGAACTGAGACCACATGCCGAAGTAGTCAATCTAGCCAAGGATGAACCAATTGCAGAAGAAGATCATCATTAAATACAATATCATGTGCCTCTCCTTATTTAAAGCACCACCTGACATCCACATTGATATCATTTCATCAAGACATAGTGGATAGGCACAATAGTGTACAAAATATAATTTTATAATTTCTATAATTTCCCCATATGTATAGGAGTAAAGAATAATTGAGGGATCTTGACTCTCTCTCTCTCTTCCTCGAACCAATAACTCCTCCGAATTATCTCCTCCCTTAGAGATTGAGAGGAAAGAATCAATAACTTAAGCTCAAGTGAGACATTTACCACCTTTGTCCCCACCTTCATCTGAAATATAGAATCTATGCTTGGTTATATAAGCTTACGCATAATACAGGATCCTCCATATTAAAAGGATTCGACATTCGAAAATGTGTTGTGAGCGTAGAGTTCAACCAAACTTATGTTGATCTCATTTTTTATATGGGCTCCTTCCAACCCATCTTCTCTCTAAAGCTTATGGTCTATCCTTAGGACTTACTCAGTGACATCCTTAGAAGACTAGTGGTGCAACCAAAACCAAATAGAATTTCAAACATTTCTCCACTTCTTAGGGTCTCATATACTCAGTTTCAAATTCTTAACATTCGGTTGATTGGTCAAAGTTAAGACATTGAGACATAAGTTGAGTACCAAAAGGTTGGACATGTCTTAGGTGACCCTTTATGTCTAGAGACTTAGGTCTACTAGGAATTTTGCCTTTCCAATTCCCAACTCCTCGGATAACCCTATTTTTTCGATTCATAAAAGAGCACATTGGGTATGAGGCTCACTTTGGATCAAGATGGGGCTTATCCTTTAAAAGGAAAAATGAAATGAAAAGACCACTTATTAAAACTCAAAATGCATATTAACACTAAAATTATACATAATCAAAATTATAAAAATTAAAAATTCCATTAAGATCAATACCAACAAAAATTAGATCTATTAAAATCAATTTCAATAAAAATTAAACTCATTTAAAGTAATTTCAATTAAACCCACTAAAATCAATTTAACTAAAAATTAAATCTATTAAAATTAACCTAAACCGATGTCAAAATTAATTTACCCAAAGGATAAACCTATTAAAATTAAGTATAACAAAAATCAAAGTCATTGAAGTCAACATATTAAGATCTATTAAAATCAACCTATCAGAATTAACCTCAACAAAATAAATCAACCAATCTTAAGTACTAACATCAACTTCAAATTAATTCAACTAAAATCATCAAAATAGGTCATAATTTCTTGAATCAAAAGAATCAAATCTAGGGTAAAAAAAATGGTAAAATCCATCATAAACAAAAAATAAATCAATCAAAGATAAATAAATTCATCTAAAATGATAAAATAAAAATTAGAATTCAACCCTCATTAATTTTTCAAACTAAAGCCCAAATAATCAAAAGGTCATCAAAAGGAGAAAATCACAAAATTTAAACCTATTAAATAAAATTGAAATTGAAACAACCTAAGACTGAATTTGATAAAATAAAACTTTTGCATAATCAAATCAACTAAAATTACATTAAATTGTTATAAAGAAATTAAAATTAATAATTAAATAGTTAACATAAAAAAAACCAACTAAACCACCATTTGAAATTAAAAAAAAAAACTTAACAAATTAGAATTATAAGAACCAAACCTTAATAAGCCTAAACCCAAGCCCAAACACCAAGTTCAAGCTAAAATGAAAGCCCAAATTCACTCAAGCAAACCCTAAAACCACCATGAACCAAAAATGATCTAATTACCTATTAACCAATCAAGAGATAAAATAAAATAAAATAAATTAAAATTAGCCCTCGTCCAACTAAATCCAAGCACTAAAGGACAAAAAATCATGCCAAAATCTAAAATTTCTTCACATGGTGTTGACATCATATTTTGATGTTACTAGTGTAGGGTGTCCACTTGAGTGAATTGAGATGGACCGTGGTTCGTCCGTAGTGTCTCGTAGCTCAAGGTCTTCACCTGAGACTCTTTAGCACTTGTTCAGGGCAAGAAGCTAGGTTTAGTATACATTTAGCCTTACCCGGGGAAACTGCAATCAGGAAGGTTCATTTAAGACGTAAGACATGTTCAGTGCTTGTTATGGCGTTTAGAAGTCACTACACATTTGTCTAGAGACTCCCATGGTTGAAGGAAGTCATAGAGTCCTCCTACACACGCTATAGAAAAGTTAGGGTTTGGGACACCCTACTCGTGTCGTTGCTTATGATGAAAATTAACAGCTATTTTACTATTGAATGACCGATGAGAATACTCCATTTTGAATTAATTGGATTATATTTATTCATACAGAGTCTCTCGTAGCTTACGGATCGAGAAAATCCACTATCAGGCGTTCCTGACGAAAATCACATTTTCGGGCTAGAACAAAGCCCTAGCGTCGACCCCAGAGGCCTAAGTGCCCAAAAATACTGTATGGGCAGCCATACTGAGAGCTCATAAGTTTGGTGACTCAACCCACAATTACGTAGTAATTAAACTTCTAAAAGATGACAAAAAACTTGATCCAATTTATATTTAACGACTAGTGTGCAAAATCGATATGTTATAAACTTTAGAATTTTTTATTAATAGTTTACACAATAAGGGTACTACACAAGTATACATATCATTTCAAGTAATATTGGACTTTATTTAAAACCATAGTATTGATCCCCCTCAGAAGTGAGATAAGAAATCCCTTAGGATAAGTTTTAGTATACTGCTATAAAGTCTTAGTTTGGAATATCGATTAAAGTGGTTTTTTAATAACTATTCCTAAATAAAAATCTTAAATCTAAAAATAACATATCTAGATAAATTGGTTTGGAGAATTTTGAGATGATAAAGATTACCCTGCTCGTGCTAAAAACTACCCTTCTCGTGCAATGACCTAAATAATGTGTAAGAATGAAATGCTTAAAATATAATATTAACAGTGACAAATAGGAGCATACCTATTCTTTACCCTCTCTCAAGTGCATAAAGAACATTGAATAATCTAAAGTTAGTTCCAAATTGTGTGGTTAGGCTGGGAAGATACTAGCTCTCACTCTAAAATTCCCATTATGCCTTCACTTGGAGGCTAATCAGGGACCCTTAATTCCAACATTAGACCAAATTGGTAGAGGATCTAGCCTGTCACCCTAGAAGTTCCAATTATATGCCCATCAAAACTTATCTCCCTTTCTATTTGCACTTCCCCTCGGATGATTGCGATGGCTCTATCCAAAGTTAAGTGTGGTACTCACTAGTTGGGTGAAATCATAACCCTTTCAGGTCACTATGTTTTGCAACAAATTTTAACATTAAAGTGATCAGTTTGTAAAGTAAATTAAGAGTCGGTGAAAATACCATCACATTAATAAAATAAGAGAATATCTTAGCTAGATTCTTAAACATTCATCTTGTTTACTGCAAAATAAAAGTAAAATAAAGATGATCACATAAGAAGTACAAGCACTGATAGAATTATGTAATGAATTATGTCTACCTACCCTCTTCTGATTGTAAAAGTATGCTTAGTATTCTATTAGTTTTATGCAACTGCAACTATAATGTCACCTAGAAGCATCTAATAAAAACAAATCATTAAATTATATTTTCTTAAAAGTTGCATTGCCGCTTAAACTATTTTACTAGCCAACTGATCAATTTGAGTGCACTCAAGTTGCAAGATCATTGCTCCCCCAAGTTTTAGTTTCACTTACAAAAAATTTAAATAAAATCTATTGCCACTTAAGTTATTTCAGTGAAACAAAGTAGATATTACTCATCACATGAAAATAATAATTATTCTACAATAAAATAAATTTTCCTACAAATGCCATTACATCATATTAAAAGATAAGAGTAAAGAAAACTACTCACAAAGAAGGGATAAAAAAATAAAAAACTTCATTAAATCAAAGCAAATATACTAGAAAGTGTTTATAACAATTATAAGATAATGAAGAATAAT